GGTTCTTATACGCGGGTGTTTACTGTACTGGAAAACTACTGGAGGAGCGGTTACACAGCTCACAACACACTACATGAAGAACAGTTATCCTTGAATCTAAACATCCCTCCTGGAAGAAAACATCAAGTTTTGGTTTGCACAAAACAACATCAATGGCCTATGAATACAGGAGATTGCGCGCTGTTTACATCTTTCTTACCTGGGGTAATTAATTGAATTTAGTCGAAGAACGAGTCTTCGTACAAAACCTATCTTAGGAAAATGAGTTTGATCTCACATTTTTCTTAGTTTGCGAAAAATCTGTCTTACAGATTTTTGTTTGCTTTGCATGAATGTTAAATCAGAGCCAATTTCTTATTCCCGAAATTTTGAGGTGGGGTCATCCGGGTAGATTTTAGGAAAACACGTGATTTAACCTACTAATGCCCAGTCTCTCCTTGGGTACTCGGTCGTTCATTTTGGCCATTTGTTGACGTTTCATTGTTCAAGTTTCACACAGCATGGTAAAAGACTTAAGCAAACAGCAAATAGACAAAGGAAAAACATCTTAGAACATTTTTGAAAAGAGTTAGAAGTTGGGCTGTTATAATCCGTCAAAATTGTAGTAAGATAAGCCACCATGAAAGCTTTTGTTGTGCATTGGCTTGCGCGTTCACGTTACAAAACAAAGAACAAAGCCGTTACGGATATACGGACGAACTGTCTCAGTCTGAGACGTCACGCAGTTGTGTGACATTTCAAGAACGGCAAACAACAATTTGATCATCAAATTGTAAATCCTTTGCAAACTCTATGTTATTCTTTAAAAGTGGCCAAATACTTATATTAAAAAAGAGAGAGAAAAGTGAGAAACTTGAAAGAAGATCAATTTTCATTCAATTATTCCCGGATTATTATGAAGCCGACAAACAATTGAAAAGCGTAAGTCTTTTCAAGATTTAGCTGCCGTTGTGCATTGACCTGAAGTCACACTATAAACAGGTTTGAAAACAATGAACAAAGATGTTATGGCTGTACGGAAGAAATAGGCAAAATTTTGGAGCTAAAAGGTTATACCTTATTTTCAAAGGCCTTGCAGGGCTTCCGCCCTGACTCAGACTCAGACGTCACGCATTTGTGTGACATCCCAAGAGCCCGCAGTCAGAAGCAACTTGGTATTAATTCAGCAGTACCGATCACATGTAAACATTTCTCTTGTTTCAGTTTCGAACTTACGAGGCGCAAAACAACTGTTAAAACTCAGCTTCCTCGAAACATTGTTGTATCGAATAATACTGCCAACAAGCCAGAGAGTAACAATGACACTTGTTGAAGAGAACTGGCAGACGAAGTGTTCAGCTATCGCACAGAGAACTACGTTTATTTTCAACACGGAGCTACTGAGCGATGTGAAATTTGTTGTTCCAGCATCGACTGGCCAAAGTAAAAGCAAGAAGGTGATCCCAGCTCACAAGTTTGTGCTTGCAATCAGCAGTCCTGTGCTCTATGCCATGTTCTATGGTCAAATGGCAGAGCCCAAAAACTCTATTGAACTGCCTGACTGTGACTACGAGAGTCTGTTGGAGATGTTTCGCTATTTGTACAGCGACAAAGTGAATTTGAGCGGAAGTAATGTGATGCAAGTGCNTGAACTGCCTGACTGTGACTACGAGAGTCTGTTGGAGATGTTTCGCTATTTGTACAGCGACAAAGTGAATTTGAGCGGAAGTAATGTGATGCAAGTGCTTTACTTAGCAAACAAATACATGGTGCCTTCACTGGCTGAGAAATGTGCCGAATATCTTGGACGCAATTTGAAGGCATCAAATGTGTTTTGTATTCTGCCGCAGGCTCAGAAATTTGAGGATAAAGATTTGGAAGATCGATGCTGGAAAGTGATTGAGGAGCACACGGAAGAAGCTTTGAAGTCAGATGAATTTGTAACAGTTGAGCAATCACTAATCGAGACAGTTGTGGAAAGGGAGGGATTGAACGTGAAGGAAGTGGAACTATTTAAAGCTGTTGATCGCTGGGCCACAGAACAAAGTAAAAGGCAAGGGATAACTCCTGACGGCGGGTCGAAAAGACGAATACTTGGAGAGGGGATCGTGAAAGAGATCAGATTTCCATTGATGTCACAGCAAGAGTTTGCCTCAGTTGTCATCGATTCTCGTATTCTTACTTTGGATGAGGTTGGTGACATCATCAAACACTTCAGTGATGTGTCAACAACTTCCTTTCCATTCATTCAAGCCCCAAGAATTTCCAAGGATACTTCAATTATCCATCGATGTCAAAGATTTCAAGCCTTTAATACTGGCTGGGGATACGGCAAGTTGCCCGTCTGTATTAATTTTTCAGTTAACAAGCCAGTCATGCTACATGGAGTTCAGCATTTTGGTTTCGAAGGTTTTGAGTACGCGATTTCCATAGAAGTTAAAGATACCACAGATGGCTCTTCTCTGGTAAAACAATCAGGATCATACGTTTCAGAAAAAGACAAGACTTGTTTTTATTATGGCTTTTCTGTACTGTTCGATCGACCAGTTTGTTTGGTGGAAAACAAGGAGTACAGGATAGAGTCGCTTATTAAGGGTCTTAAGTCCTGGTATGGAAAGGGAGGACGAACATCTGTTGAGTGTCAAGGAGTGGTATTCACTTTCCGTACTTCATCGGGTGGCAGTTTTGGAACCACTGAAACACAGGGCCAGTTTCCTGTGCTGTTTTGGTCAGCAAAACGTTGAGATACTGTTAGGTACATTTATTTCCGATTGCAAGGTGTTTTGTTTATGATTCTTGAACGAGTTCAACGTAATTTTGAGTTCATATTTTTTTAGATTACCAAGGGTACATGAATTGTTGTTACATGCATGCAACACTGAAAGATTACCGCATACTGCTATCAAAGACTAGAGTGGGACTGGAACTAGAATAAAGAAGTGTGAAGGCTGCGCAGCAACGCCAAACGTTAATTTATGATGAAAGCTTTACTTTTCGTGAGTTGACTAAAGCTCACAGTGCTTTACCACGATTCAAGAAGAAAGCATGCGTACAAGAAAGCCTAAATTCATGGTTTCTCTTTCTTTTCGCTGAAACTGACCGTGAACTTTGATCGAGCAACGGAAAATGCGGCTAGTCTCAATTGCTTTCGATATTATCTTGTATGCTTATTCGCGACGTGTTTTCGAAAC